AAACTCAAGTAAATTATCACATTTATTCTAGCGATGAATAAAAAAATCCAGTTCAGTGTTTTTACTTAGAGTTACACTGGCACAAAATTGTGCACCTTGTTCATTGCAAATGGCTGTGATGATTGTTTTCCTGCAGTTGGAGACACAACAAGAAACACAAAGTCATCATGACAACGGGTTAGAACTCATCTGCTTCTTGTAGAAATCTGGGTATTTTTCCTGTTTCCAGTGAACGTTACATTGTGGTTACGCTGGTGTCTTAACACGGTTGCTCTGTGCTCACAGCAGCACTTCCAGCTGGGCAGCTGTCCACATTCCTGCTAATCCACATCACAGCGTCGCATTCCTCACAGCACATCAGTGACACTCAGCTGAACTTATCCACGGTCCTCTCGCCTAACCTGTGTGTGTGTGTGTGTGTGTGCAGGACGGAGGACATCCCTCTGAAAATACTTGCTCACAACAGCCTGGTTGGTCGGCTGATCGGGAAGGAGGGCCGCAACCTGAAGAAAATCGAAGAGGAGACAGGGACCAAGATAACCATCTCCTCGTAAGTCACCTCTCCGTTCCTCTTTCACACACGCCCACGGCGCTCTGCAGTTACATAGTAGCCGTGTAACACCTTCAGGAAAACAAACTTACACACACACACTGGAGCTCTTGTGGAAAAGCAGCAGCGACACCCAATATGATTTCAAGGATGTAGTTTGAAGTTATTCTATTATTTCCAGTTAAACCAGGTGTCAAATAACATGCACTGATTTCAACTTGCTGGTGCCACAACTTTCTCCTTCGCTGTTCATTATCCTTCCATTGTGTAAGATTAAGGTTAAAGTGATCTATTGGCAGTGATGAAATATAAAGTCATCTTTGTGAAGTGTTATTTTTATTTACCATAGAATGGATCCTTTATAGTCAAATAATTCGGGAGTTGGTCATCTTTACGGAGGCCGCCATGTTTTTTAATATCATCTTTGGAAGGGGAGGGTGAGGTGAGGGGTATTGAGCTGCTGCATGCAACTTCACCACTAGATGTCACTACATTCTACAAACTGAACCTTTAACTGAGCTTGTACAGAACAAACGTGGAGATTTGATAACAGCTCCTTCACTCCGCACATGACAGCTCTGAAGACATAATGAACCTCGAGGAGCGACACAGATCAAGAGAGAATGAGAAGAGGCGAACAACCAAGGACTAAAAAGAGTGTTTTTTGCTACAAAGGCCTCAATGTGTTATTTCATTGACCAAGCAAACTACTTTATGGAGCGATTGCCTGCATGATTCATGTAACTTTTTTTTCAGAGCAATTGAAAAACGTTTTAGTTTCACTATGACTACTGTGCTGTTTTCTCGGTTACAATGTGGTCAAGATTTTGTTTCCAAATCCAAGAAGCATCATAGTGGCCGAGCTACAAAAACAGACAGTATTAAGGAGAAAAGAGTCATAAGAACAATGTCACGCAAAGTTCTTTACAGAATAAAAAAACTCTTTTCGAAGTCTAAGTGATGTGGAATCACAAAGACGTGGCAGGAAAAGTCTAATTATGTGTTGATTCTACAGTTATTATAATTATGGGTTTCCAACATGTAAATAGTGTTGTTCACTGATCATTATTGTTTACTGGGAGCTTGATTGCATGGACAAGCTTGAAAACTGAACAAACGTTGATGTCCTTATTTTCAGTTGTTCAGTCTTATTAAAGCCACTGTTAATTAATATACTGGTTATACCATCAGCTCTGAAATCATGTTGTCCTCTTGAGTTTTCTGATGATAATGTCCTTAACATGGGATTCTTTCTTTAACTCCACTACCAATCCAGTAGTATGTGACTGATGGGAGGTGCATGGTGGGAAGTGTAGTATCCATCTTTCCCTTCTTAAAATGTTCACTTGCTTTTGGAGCATGACCCAAACTAAAGAACTGACCATTTTGTTTCTAAAGCTTCAGCCGTCTTGAGTTTTCCCACAGTTAAATAGCTGTTATGCTGAGCAAGAAATGTTGATCTCCCACTATCACTTAATTTGCATAAACAGGAAATACAAAACACCTCAGTCACCTCCACCCTCTGAGAAGATGTGTGCAGAATACAAGCGTGGTTGTTGTCGTGGTTTTTCTTGTTATGCATGTACTCATTCCTGTTTGTTTGTGTGTGTGTGTGCAATCTCCCTTCCAGGTTACACGAATTAACTATTTACAACCCTGAGAGGACCATCACAGTGAGGGGTACCCCGGAGGCGTGTTGTAAAGCAGAGATGGAGATCATGAAGAAACTGAGGGAAGCCTACGAGAACGATGTTGCTGCTTTAAACGTAAGCTCGACCCCAGTGTGTGTGTGTGTGTGTGTGTCTTGATCTCAGGTTGACTCACACAGAGTGACAGGTGAGAAGCGATGATATACACCAGGATAATATCACCTCTCCTTCCAGTGCACGTTACCAGCAGGATTAGAAATACCCGGTGTTGTGAGCTCGGTAAATTGATAACAGTAAACGATCGCTGAATAGCTCATCAGTGACTCGAGTGTTTGAGTACAGTGTGTCTGTGGATGTTTGTGTGTGTTCCACAGAGCCTCTGACTCATGCTCACTCCCCTGTGTGAGTGTGTGTGTCTCCCTGTGTTCCTGCCGTAACACACTGTGTTTCCCAGCATCCATCTGATATCTGTAGGCTGTCCTCTCTCCCATCTCCTCTTTCACATTGCCCTGATGACATCACCTGTGCTGCAGCCAGAAAGGTCAACCACAGAAGAAGAGAGGCAGTGATGATGTTGCACGCTGCATGCACAACACAGTGATGACTGCCGATAATGTGACTGTGGTAACTGAACTCGTAGTAAGAGCTGGAGCTTGTGGAGGGAGAAGCACTTTCCCGATATTTGTTTTTTCTCTACTTTCACACAAACTGTCTTCTTTTTAATTTTTTGAAATATTGGCTGGGAAACAATCATAAAGAGGCAGCACGCAGCATGCGGTTAAATTGCTCTGGCCCCTGTGAGCAGTCCTGGCACCTGTCAGGCTCGAGCGTCTACCGTAAGTGGTGAGGGCCATCTAGCGTGACACAGTGGATATTACACAAAGCGCTCCGTGAACATGGAAGTGAAAGGAGACCGCGTGTCTCGTCATGGCCAGGAAACCAGAATAGCTGACTGACTGTAAGGGGAAAGAATATTTTAGTCATTGCTGGAAAACTGTCCTTTTCACAAGCGTAGACAAATGTCTGTCCGGTTTTCAGCAGGTAGTGACTTGTCAGATAGTCCAGTGGGTTTGTTTATCTGAAGGAGTTGGTGGTAATAAAAGAACAGTTTACACAACATAGGCTTCAACCCTTATTTTCACCGTCACTCAATCTTCTATTTAAATTCTCTATATAACTGGACAATAACTTGACAAATAACAAAGACAAACTACAGTTTGACACATTCAGATTATTTGTATTGTCTGAAAACCTTTTCAATGAAGTGGGACAGAAAACCAAGAGTAGCAGCAAATACCTTTATTGTTTTATAGGATAATTTATTTAAATAATAACTTGATTATCACAACTGTTGCTGACGACTTACCTCTACACCTCATGTATGTCAGGTTGTATGTTACTGTTTTACCTTAATGGTGCAAAGAGAGAACATTAAAAACATTTCTTTTTATTTCTGTGACTCCAGATTAACTGTAGGGATTAAAAACCGTTTGGGTGACTTTGGTGTGTTTTTTATTCTCCTCTCACCTTTTAGCTGTAGATTTACTTCTGTTGTTAATCCCAAATTTCTATATGTCATTTTTTTGTAGAAAAAGCCCACACGCTTTTGTACAGACCAATCCAAAATATAATTTCTGCCTGTGCCACTGCTGTAATCTCTTGTCGTCAGAGTCTGCACGTCTGGAGACAAAATCCATCTTAAAATCAGTTTGAGCTCATCTGCTTCTTTAAAAAGGTGTAAAATGAAAAACTAAATCAACAATAAATCTTAATTAACTTGAAATATATCTTTCTTGTTTCTCATGAATAAAATCCATCGCTTTCTGTTTTCTTCTTCTTCTGCACAGCAACAGGCCAACCTGATTCCAGGCTTGAACCTGAACGCTCTGGGCATCTTCTCTTCCTCTGGACTGCCGATGCTGCCCCCTGCTGCCGGACCACGCGGCGCAGTGCCCGCTGTGGCACCAGCAGGATACAACCCATTCTTAGTGAGTATGAACCGTTTTCTGCCCAAAACCAGATTCCTCTTTAGAGAGACTCATGCACGGCTCCTGCAGAAGATTGGTTTTGAGGAATTTGTATCCAACACATAGTAAACCAGGATCCTCCTAAAGTGGTTTGAATGAAACAACACCGTGTTGACTCAGGCCTTCGTGCATGAAGCTGTACACAACAACCAGAAATCCCCCATCTCCTCCAGAGATGAGTCAGTTTGTCTTTAAAACCAAAGTCTCCACTCACTGTGCCAGATTGCTGTGAGACAGTGTGTGTGAGTGTATCTGCATTCTTCAGAGTCAAAGGAGTTAGGTCGTGATTCACTGTGAATTTACGTCCTGAAATCCTCCCCAGTAAGAGTTGGAGTTGTGTCCTCTGAGGAGTGTGTGTGTGTGTGTGTGTGTGTGTGTGTGTGTNTATTTACATTTTTTTGTCAGTAGATGTTTAAGTATGTCCATGTCCGGATGTTTTGACAAGGGATTGTTTTGTGTGTGTGTGTGTGTGTGTGTTTTAATTGTGTGTCTCTGTACCGTCTGATCGGTCTGCTTGTCACTTTACTTTCAGAGTCACTCTTCACATCTCAGTGGCCTGTACGGGTGTCCTCCAGCAGGTGCCATCCCCCACCAGCACTCAGTATGTTCCCTAAAATCTGCACCGCAGCTAATGATGGTGATCAGAGATAGTTCTCTGTGCTGTTAGATAATTACTGTGATATTCTATGGCACTTTGAAACACACAACAGCCTCGAGTTTAAAATGTAAGCATTTTTTCCACCTTCTTTTCTGTTATTAAGCAGGATTATGCAAAAACTCCTCAGCCGATTTTCTATGAAACTTTGGGCAGGGGTGGGGCCTGATCCAAGGAAGAACTCATTAAATTTTGGGGTAGATCCAAGAATCTTGATTCTCTTTCTTTAACATTGTGAAATTGCCTGTTTTTCAATATTTTTGTAGATTTCTCAGAATAATTCATGGATCTTAATTAAAGAAATCAGTCTTGTTAAGGGAACTGACTTTTATGAGTGGTTGTGTGGTTTTATAAGGGAACTGTTAGAAGTATGTGCTCTGCTAAATGCCATTCTAGTTCTACAAATTGCATTTACAAATATCCACCCACTTCTTTTAAAGCTTTTAGAGAATATACAACTAAAGGAACATGTAGGACTGATGAAGAGAGAGAGAGACATGATTAACACACTATTACAACCTTGCAGTCATCAGCTGTTTGACAGTGGATCTGACATTCCTGAGCACCATCCCCCAGTCGCTAGAACACCACAAATATTTCTAGAAGGGGACTTTTCCGCCCAGAGTTGTGGCTCGCAGAAATTGACTTCATCAGCGTCATGTACTCGCGTGTTCCAGGCTAAGAGAAACAAAAACATCGGGCAGCCATCTGTCCTAATAGGAAATATTCCATTCATTCTTGACCACAGTGGTTATGTTTGCCCTCATGAAGAACTTTCCTTGCATGTGGTGACATCATGTTCAGCTGCTCTTCAAGTATCTGGCAGGTTGAGTCACAAATGTTTGTAACTATTTAAAGTTCCGTTTTTTTCATCAGGAGAATTTAGTTAAAGAGGAGTTAAATATTTGTCTTTTTTTTCCAGCAACAGGCTCCAGAACAGGAGGTGGCCTACCTCTTTATTCCAACTCAGGCAGTCGGTGCTCTGATCGGCAAGAAGGGCCAGCACATCAAACAACTCGCCCACTTCGCTGGAGCCTCCATCAAGGTGGGTCTGACAGCGTCACTTGAACGCTGGCTTCCAGGAGAAAGGGTCAAACCGCCTTTCATCAACCCTGTTCAGACCTGGTATCAACTTCCGTCCTGAAGAGTCCAATCACAAGTGGTCAGTGCTAAGTTCAGGTCTTAATATCCAATCACTCAGACCACTTTGGGAGGTGGTCTGGGATGTATGTGGCCACATTCATTTCGCTGTGTGAACACAAATCCATCCTGGGCCGCACATGCAGAAAAAAATGTTCTTTACTCTTCTCAGCACCCAAACATTGATTAGTTTCACTGCCTCAATATCAACACCGACGACCACATAATGATTCTATTTTTTTAAATGGGTAAAGTCTCTCTTCATAGCAGAGCTACACATTCATTCATTCAGTCCCTCCTGATTCCACTCACTCTCTTCCTGTCTTGCTCGGGCCTGCACCTCAAAAGAATGGACATAGGACACATGTGTGAACCCAGACTGGGTTAAAAACATAATTTGGTCCATGCAATTACAAATAATGATATTATTTACATGTAGAGCGAGGAAGTGAGGTCCAATCACAAGTTGTCACAGGAGACACATTGGTGTGTGAACAGACTAACTTAGTGCTGACCACTTGTGATTGGAAATCTCTCAGGACGGATGTTAATACCAGATCTAAACTGAGCCATTGAGCTGACAAACCCCAGTTAAACCAGGGTTTCCACAGGGTTTCCACAGGGTTTTAAAATAGTTTAGTATTCAACGATATGAATTTTAGGCTGTAAGTGATTAAAATGTTAAAATATTATGTTTTATTTCTCAACTATGTTATTGCTCATTTTATGCTACATCCGTCATGCTTAAAATGTATTATTGTTTTGGTGGTCTGCAGAGTTTGTAGTGTCTCCACTAGAAGAAGTTGCTTCTTAATGATACAATTATTTGCACATTGTAATAAAACTACAAACAAGACCAATGTGGAAGTGATAACTGAGTTAACAAACACTGAAGATTTGATGTCAGTGACTACAGCTACCTCCTGTCGCTGTCTGTAGTCGAAGAGATAAAATGACTTTTCAAAGGTTATTCTCTATGTAGCTAAAAACTCAACTAAATGTAAATACACTTTACATTTTGCAAAGCTTCCCATTGAGCGTTATGGTCAGTAGGTAGTCAGGAAGTGAGCACCGGCTGAGTCAGCAACACTTCATGCACCACAGCTGAGGATGTTAGTTATTTATGGTCAGAAACAAAGAGTAGAGGAGATGACTAGTGAGCTGAAAAATTCAAAAAGCCCCTGAAGCCCCATCTGGAGAGTTTCTTACATGATTCACTGGTTTGCAGTGAATCACCACAGAACCCGAGCATCAACCTTTGGCCTTATTTCTCCATTACCTGTGTGTGTGTGTGTGTGTGTGTGTGTCTGTGTGTGTCAGATTGCTCCACCTGAAACCCCTGATGTCCTTGTCAGGATGGTGATCATTACCGGAACTCCAGAGGCTCAGTTTAAGGTAAAACACAGGAATATTTCTTTTAAAGAATTTGTTACAGGCTCAGTCAGAAATTTTGGATGAAGCTGCTCCTGAAAGTTCATAAATGTTTGTCGTGCACAGTTTCATAGTAAACAGCAGTGGATCACTGTGTGTCCCCATTTTCCCCAGTCTCTCCTTGCCTCATACCCTCCTCTGTATTCCAGGCCCAGGGTCGGATATTTGGGAAGCTGAAGGAGGAAAACTTCTTCACAGCGAAGGAGGAGGTCAAACTGGAGACTCACATCAAGGTTCCCTCTACTGCAGCCGGCAGGGTCATCGGTAAAGGAGGCAAGACGGTGAGTCCAAGCTTGATTTGGACTAATTTATTAATTTATTATCAAGGTTGTAGTTTG